AAAAATTTCCTTTAATTAGTTGCACGATAAAAGTAAATGATAATTAAGATGTAATAGCTTGCTACACAAACCTATAATAATTGCACTATTTCCCCCCATTTTCTAATGAAATTTATCGAAGCGCCATTACGTAATGAAGGATGCCCAGCAAAGATCACACACGGCTCCTGGTATTTTTCTTGAAGTGTACTATCAGCCCTAGATGCGTTATATAACGTCATTTGTTCAATCATGTCTTGATGAGGCATCGGATCATCTGGTAGATACATTTTTTGTTGTCTCTGTACACATCCTTATGACACAAAAATAAACATGGCTGGTTAGCATAAAGGCGATAAAATATACCATGATTAAATTAATTAACCATTCCCCACATATATTGGAATATTTTAGTGATTCTTCTGCTATGGGTGATACTGCATAGAACGGAATACCACGAAATCCCATAGCTTTCAAATGGTTATCCAAAATTCCATTATATCAAAATAGTTGTACAAGGAAATAAAACGTTTCCTTTGTTTTTTAAAATATTTGCTGATCAAATGTAAAAAAAATTAGTTTTTTTTTACTATATAAAATATTATGCATTAGAGAATTGTACCAACACATTGTCCAATTTCCATAAGAATGTTTTCAAATCTAACGCTATCCTCATCACGCAAGTCACTAAAGATGACAACGTCATTATCATTAAATATTGCCTCATCGAAAGGTAAAGGATGTATCGGTATCGTGGAAGATGACGATATTATGACAATCTAAATCGAGAGAGAGAATATTATGTTTCATTTTCTTGACTTTTAAAATTAAATGTTATAAACAGTATTCTACTTTTTCTCCACCACAATCAATCATCCAATTAGCGGCACTAAGACAAAATCCTGAACTACACGCGGTTTACTTCAAGTTCGTATAAGTTCTACAAAGTATTTCAGAGATTACCTTAATTATATAATGAATATATTTATAAAACATACCAAATGCTCTCCAAATCTTACGGGTCTCACTTTATCAATACATGATTGAATGTCCGCTATTGAATATAAAGATCGTGCAACATTCCAATCCGAAGTAACACCCGTGAAAATATTCGTAGATCCGGGTTGAGAATGAGTTCGACTTAGAAGTGCACTATCGCCAAAGAAATGCACCAATTCTTTCATCATCTGTCTAAAAAATAAAGTTAACTTGATAATAATTTCAAATAATATTAAAGATTGAATAAACATTTTACCGTGCAAAAAGAACAGTTGGTTCTGTGGCGTAAATCTTTCCTTTGAAGTCCGTATATTCGGTAATATAAGGTAAAGCCTGCATATGATTGTAATTAGTAATAAATATGAAATCTATATTATTCCAATCGATGCTACTAAATTCCGGAATTTCCACCAAAAATTGCCAACTTCGACGAACTCCACAGCCAGAACTTCCACTTCCATCACCAGTTGAATCTATCAAATGATCTAATTTACGACGTTTCCTGTCTTGTTCCCTATTTTTCTAAAGAAAAGTTAGATGGAGTTGCATCATTGGAGGAAGAAGTATAATCTGAAATATCTAACGTGCTAGAATGATCCTCAACGGAAATCGATAAATGTTGTTGTTGAGCTTTTGAACCGATAATTTCACGAGGTGGAAATTCTAAGAAATTTTTCTGCATTAATTTGATTAAAAAACAATTTTTTCTTAAATTACGACTTTAAAGATGCTATTAAAAGGAATCTTAATTCAAACTGTCTAAAATATTCAAACCTACTAGCTTCATTTTAATAATTAATAATGTTTACAAAAGTCTGAAAAGAACAAATCTTAAAAAAAACCCCACAATTGGAAAAGAAAATAAGGGGCTTTATATAATTTTAGTGTGTGGCTGAGTTTACATTGCTTAGCGACGATCAATTTTCAGCCTATTAATAGTTTCTTTATTTCTTAATATCATCTGTTATGGAATTTAAAATTTTGTAATACGAATAACATCGCAGGAATCGGCTATAAAAATTATTAATAATTTAATAAGATCTATTATATTTTATCGAATTAATAGAAACTTCCATAAAAAAAATTTCTCTTCCATTCAATTAATACGAGATTTGGAATGTCCTCGCTTTTTTACTGTCCTCTTAGTAAAACCCTAAATCTTGACTATTATCTATAGAAGAATGGAGATATTGAAATAAATTCGTTTCATAACAACTATTGACATTTGATATTAATAAATAACATTACTAATTGCAATTAATATACAGTGGCTTCCAAAAAAAACGCACCACTATACTGCTTATTACTAGTCACATGTTTTACGATCAACAATAAATCTGTTTAATTTAATATTTTTTAAATAAGT